CTACAATCATGCCTCATTAAGAACGGTTCGGGTTATTTTTTGGGGTTTCTGAAAAACTCGTTTTCTAGAAAACCAGGTCTTCGAAGGGCTATGCGGAAGCCGCATGGTCGTATTCGTAATCAGCATGATCGATAACCTATAACCCACTAGATTCCGAGCAAAAAGCGTTTAATCACTTCGTGGGGTTCCCTCGTTAGTCGAAAACGTGATTCTGACACATTTTTCACTATTTTCTTGTCTTTATATCTTTCGAACAGAAGAATATCATGAGCTCGCGATTTTTCATTGTGATGAAAAGTGTGCTAACAAGATAAGGCATGTCGCAGCTTTTTTTAAGACTCTTGTTTTAGCAGATATATCAACAAAACGAAGACATACATTGTTCAAAAAAAGAAAAAGATTATTGAATATCTTCTAAACCGAGAATCTTAGAGAACTCGAACATTCTGAAATGTAATGTTTCTAATATTAAATCATACAAATCAATCGATTTATGACATTGTTAACATATTATAACAATGAAGTGGCACCACATCATCTAAAAAAACAACATAATATTTCAATAATATAAAGTTAGTTTATTTCTACAATCTACAAAAGAAATCCTAGTAATTCAGAATCCATCTTTACAAGGTTTCAGTTATATGGAAACACTCTACTAGATTGAAGTTATTTATTGCAAAAGCAAAGAAAAAAAAATTAGTTAAATAACATTTGCTTAAAAAAACGAGCAACATGCAAAAATACATAACGATCTAGTTTAAAAATAACATCAATAAACTCAATGTACAAAATTTTCTGTCTCTTGACTTGTTCATATAAAAACAATTTCATATACTCATCGTATTTCGTCTTTTCACTGGGTAAAAAAATAAAATTATTTCAATTAAAAAAAATTGATCATTTTCAATCTTTAATATAAAACAAATAAAATTTACGTAAAAACTTATTTGCGTCAAGGTAAAATGTATCTAACATTTTATAGAAAACAAAGCAACGAGGTATGATGAAATTTTAGCAATACGAAACAGATGCTATAACTTCAAATATATTTGTCATAGGAGACTGTAGGGTGATAGATAATTAAAACATTAAAGTGATATGAAAAAATTAGGACGGATTTTCATTTGTACAAAGAGTAGTTTGATTTAAAATAGCTCCACTGTTAGAAGTATTCTTGGACAATTATGTAAAAAAACTGACAAAAAACAACAACAATAAAAACAACAAGAGAATAAATGACGATTTGTTTTAATCAACAAAAGAATAAGCAGCACCAATTAAATATAAAGAAGAATAGAGAGAAATTAATGTAAATGAGTTACATAAAAATTATTCGAAGTTATATCATTTATGTTGTCGAGTGTATGTTGGCGTTGATACATCTAAAGGATTACTGTGACATTTATCAATGTCTTTTGAAATTGTACAAGAATTTGTATTTAGATTATCGACTGAGTTCGAATATGAATTATCATTCTTTTTATATTTTACGTCCAAATTATTTCTATTGTTTGGCTTTTTATCACGACTAGGTTTTACCGGCAGTTCTCCATTAACAGGATAGCCGATCGTTCCAGTTTTAGAGTCTTGTTTTATACGAGGTGGAACTGGAGGTGGTGCAATGGATGGTTCATGAACATTGTTTAAATCTGGATTTTTTGTTATCGTTGCGGAAGATGAATATTCTAAAGTATGGAAACAATGATAATGACTCATTAAGTACTTTGTATTCTGTCTCATTTCACTACCTTAAGCCCCCCTCAGAAATGGTGATTTTCGGTCAAAATATCGGTTTTGAGATAAGCACATGGGAAGATAGTCTGCAATGTCTCCTTTCAGAATCTGTATCGCTTTTGGTTACAAAAGTGGTTTTTCCCGGATTTTGAGCAAGTGTTCTACGAGCTTCGAAAAACCGAATCTTCAAATAATAGCCTTTTCCTGGATACTAATGCAATTAAAATTTTTCTAAACACACAGATTTGTAGAGCAAACGCTTCTAATCAAAATAAGACCACGTACAACTCTGTATGACTCTGCATCAAAAAGTTACAGGCATTTTCCTAGAAGTTCTAAAATTGAGTATTTTATACAGCGTTTTCTCTATATAAGAGTTACACCTGAAGTATTTCTCAAGACTTTTTATAGCGGTTTGTCATAGAGAGTTTATTCTTTTTTTGTTTCAAAGAGGAGAAGAAACTACATCGTCTGACCGGCGCCGATTTTTGAATTAGGTCTTAGTTTTTTATCAAATTAAGGATTTTTAGAAAATTCGGAAGGCTTTTTCGGATTTTGAAGGTTGTTGGTTGCCAGGAAAACTAATAAAGGCTTAATTGAAAAATCGGCGCCGGTCAGACGATGTAGTTAAGTGTCTAGTTTAAAACAAAACAAACCCGAACTCTCCAGCTTGAAGTATATTAAAAATTTTGGGAAACACTTCAGGGTCCTTTTTAGACCTTGATCTCTAGAAAAGTCCTGAACGGTAAGACTTGGATTTTCATTCCCGTAACTCATTAAGCCAAACATTTATGCGAAGTTTCGTTAAGATCGAATGTATGATGTCGGAGATTATTTCTGAGGGGGGGGGCCCTTAATGCCTGTTTAAAGAAAATGAATTTGAAAACAGCACTTTTAGAAGAAATTAGAAGATAAATTTTTACACAGCTGAGAAAGAGAGACAATTAATAGAGAAACATGTCAGCGTGTTACCTCAGGTCCTGGATTCGATTCCCAAACATGGCATACATTTTGTTTTCACGTGTTTGCCTATTAAATTATATCTCCTCAGTCGTGTAAAAATTCATCTTCCTGTTTGGAGCGCCAACTCAATTGAAAATTTCTTCTCGTTCTCCAAAACACGAAGCACAAAAAACCATAAACTCAAACATCTCACGGCCTCAATTTAAGTTATGGAGCTGTACTACAATTAATGATAAAGCATCGAAAATACTTGTAAAATTAGTTTTCATTATATTATACATCCCTAAAAATATATGTAGAATAATTGTATTAGGCTTACGTTGTTGTACAGAGCTTTCCTCCCTGTTTTCATAAGTCGAAGCATTTGACTGTAGTTGATCAGTCGAATCGTTTTGTATAATAAATAAAAGCATTTTATAAACAAAATAATACTGTTTCTAAAACAGAAAACAATACAAGCGAGATGTCTGCAAATGAATATAGATGTCGCAGTAGAAATTAAAATTCTACTGAAGTTTAATTTCTGTTGCGACATAGATATTATTTACAACTGTTTGAATTAATGCAATGCGAAATTGACGAATGTGCTTTGCTATTTTATATACAGGATCTTTTTGATATTCTTTATTTTTGCTGCTCAATAAACGCTAAAACAGAAAATGAAATAATAAAGAAGAACTTCTGCTGCAAAGTGCTTAAAACGTTCAACAGCGCGGGATAAAACATTTATAACAGCTTCATAACTAACTTACTCTGTCTTGTATTAAAATACGACACAAATCAATGGCTATAATTGTTCCAGTACGACCACAACCGGCACTACAATGAAAAGTCAAGCTGTAAGTATTGACAACTACTACTTTCTAATTAAATTAATCTAGGCCAACGTACAAGGGAAGAAAAATACTTGACATTTTTAAACCATCATCAGCGCTCTTTTCGAACAGATGATCTGGCTTTTTTCAAAGAATGGTACAGGATGTTACTTTGTTACAAAAAAATGATGTCAAAAAATTGAGAGAGAAATTAAAGAGCATAAAATCCAGACGTCTGAAATATTCTCTTATAAGCGAGACAATAGGTATATATTCCGTCATTGTTTAAGAATGGCTTAAAAAAATGTCTGATCACACACCTACAATGGACAAGAATCGGAGTGTCAGGCGATAGAGGAGTCCTATCTTTATGTAAAAGTTCTAATAGATCTAGAATAGGTCCTTCTCCACTGGGTATATCGTGATCTGGCCACTTTAAAAAGTGATATAATAATACAGGACGTTGACTGGATCCACGACTAATTGTTAATGGTTGCACTTCATAGTTAGCACATTTACACGTTTTTGCAGATGAAGTATCCTAAAGCAAGAAAAACCAAAGAATGATCAGTTTAGTTCTCAATGCTTCCGTGTTTGTCATTCACCTTGCTAATATGATAGTCACCGGCAATAAGTGGATTTGGATTATCGTCCTCTGGCCAATATCGTTTGAATTTGCGCTAAGCAAGTAGACAATCGTAAATTCAATCTATCAAGATAACAGAGCATACAATTTACATACTCGTCCATCTTCAATTTCATTTGCTATACATATAATACTTGTCACTTGCAATTCCCATATCATACGGATAAAATCGTTTAATGACTCGTCTATAGGTCCTTGAGCTGCAATATATCGTTGCATACCATCGAGAAAATCCTTAACAGTATTAATGTAATATTAAAATTAGGAACTTTTCTAACTTCAAACACATTATTTATAGTGAAAATATTTCTGCTATTTAGCCAAAATCATAAGGAAACGTATTAAGCACTAGGGACATACCTCTACATAACTTGCGTTGATATAATCAGAACCATCTAGATTCTCAATCACGTCTAGTTTAACACGATATTTATCGTCTAAAATAGAAGAAAAAACGCACAGTAATAATCCGATAAAATTTGATCCAAAATATCTGGTACTAACATGGAAGTACGTCTTTGTAACGATTTTTTAAACGATTGATTGGTTTAGCTCCCTCATTACATGCGTAAAGATCTTTGTTCTCATACATTGTCTTTTGCAATTGCTAGGATAATGAATAGTTTTGTGAGACAACAATATTTGACATGATTAGTAGCAACTTACAGCAAATTCTTTTCCAATTTCTGTTGATTCAGGATCTGTAGCATTTTCATATTCTGTAATTGTACGCTCTAACTTCTGAGATAACTTAGTATACATGGAATATCTAAAATAGTATAGAAAAATATTTGGAAATTTAACTGAATATTTACATATATTATGCTCTTATATATAAAAGATACTTTTTATCTTTTGCTACAGCAAACGAGATGATGATTGCTTTTATAGATAAAAAATCGTTTCTATTTTCGCTGTATTTTCAATTGTTCGAATAATGATTCATACAACTATTATTTTCATTATTATTCGTAAATAATAGACAAGTATGTTTAAGGAAATAAATGCATGTATGTATGTATATGGCGTATTTATAGAGTAAATTCGGTTGCAATTTATGAATGTTAACGTATACTTCATTTATCAAAACAAACGTTCAGAGCATTAGAAATTTCAAAGCAAAGAACAAAACAAACATGAATGATATAATCAATACAGCACTCGAAATAGATTAAATTAAAGGAAAATTAAATGATATTTCTCTACCCAGTATTCTTTTAAAAGTATATAGTTGAAAAGAGCGTAACATTTGTATGAATGAATGTAAACGCCTCGTTCGATCTAAATAAAAAAATGACATCTAATTTTTGGAATCATAAGAAACGCTATGCCATGTATTAATTGAATCAATTTTTTTATTTATAATTTCAAGAAAACTTGAGAATAACCAATCACATATTTCAAACGAAGTGTGACAATTACCTAAATATTATAGACTGTATTTCTCTAACGTTCCTTTCTTAACGCAGTATTCATCCACTTTTTATATACAGATAGTGTAGTTTAAAAAGAAGCTTTGAGATTTACAGTCTAAGATTACTAAAAATCTTTCTTAAATAGTTGTATCTAACAACTGGAAATACAGAGTAAAACATTAATGCAATAAAGTGAAAGGTATCATCTAATAGAACAAATTTGTTTTTACTATTGAATAAGAAGCAACTTATCATACTCTGATGAAGTAGTAATCCTGCCTATAACACATTAATTGAAAAATTTTCTTATAACAGAAAATATTTTACTTAGTCAGTACGTCGTTTATTAAAACCATCAATTTCTCAAATTGATGTACTAATATATGGAATAGACAATAAATTTCACTCATATGTTCCAATATTTTCTTGGGTTGCTAATGTTTGTTTTGCTAATATGTCCATTATTTTTGGTTCAATTGACTGATTTATTTCGTAGTCCAAAGATGCACTATAAATATTCATTATACTTGTATCATATATAGGTATTGAATAACGATTCAATATTTGAATACAATTACTCAAACGTGTTATAGTTTTTCGTTCATCTAAACTAATTGTTTCAATACTTCTTACATAACCTCCGGTATGATGTTCTTGTTCATTTGAGGCAGTAGCTGCTGTTGGTGGACAAATCCATATATAGCCATTACAACCTCGAATCACTGTTGCACCACATGGTAAACTATGAAAATGATTTTTTGTTTTTTTAACCAGTGACGATTTCACCTGAACCAAGATGCCTTCACTCAATTTTCCATATCTTAAATTACGTGTTTGTAAAGATAATGTTCCATCTTGATGTACTATTTGTATTTCAGCTGATACTAAATCACCTTCTTTTAAATATTGTCTCATATTTCGTTCGTCATCATCGATTCGTCGACGATGTTCACCACCGGGCAACACAACCGCAGCTAATGGTAAATAGGAATCTAGACGACTATTTGTATCGACAATCCATCGTGTTTGGTCAACTTTCAATATTCTTCCGATGATAACATGGCCAACTTCACCAATGTAACGCATATGTTTTGGTTCAACACATAATAGACGATCAACTTTCAGTATACAACCGGCAACAGATGATTTCAGTTTCGTTTTTGTTGAATCTAAATACGTACCATGACCACGCATAAAATTTGATGTATCATTTGTTAAAATTGTTCCAGGGACAACAAGAGACATATGCTGTTGTCCAGATGACAATGAATCTGGCATTCTTTCTACAAAAAAAGAAATCAAGAGTGGACTACGCTTAAAACAAAAAATGATATTTTGTTATACGCGATTTTCTCTTCTGTACTAGTGGTATAAAGAATATTTTAAGTGAACGATTTTGAATACCTTTTCAAAGAAATAAACCTATTAGCGAAGCCGATTTACTTTTGGAAAAGTTTCTTTTTTCACATATAAGTTTTCTAAAATTAATTTTAAGTAATAAGTCGTAGCCTATGAGGTGAAGGGATTTAGAAAGTATAAACAGCAATTATTTATTTTTATTTCCTTGGTGTAATCTACATAAAGATGGGTAAAAGCAAGCGAATTGAAAATACTGCTTTTTAATATATTATATCATATCGAAATAGACCATCGCGTAAATTTTTGGGATTACACTTTTCTTAGCCTGCAGATTTATATTTCATGTTATTGTATTTTTTCAATATTGCAAAAATTGTGAGATGAATCCGATGAACTTATTAAACTAGTTTAAGAGTTCAATTGGACAACTGACCGATTCGAAAAAGTCTAAACAATTTTATTTCATCTTCTCTTAAAATTATTATCTGGTAAGACACCGAAGAGTTCACAGTGTATTTATATGCAAAAACGAACACACTTGTCTCACGACGAGATTCTATAACCATTCACTATTGATTAATCTCGTTGATCACGTAACGGGTTTTATTTCAAAACTCGTTTTTTTACACGAGGACTGAATAATATTTTTGTTGTTTCCTTTTAGCTCCAAACAGTAGCTCCAAGGTGTCAGGATCAATGCGAACTGACATACATACTCTTAGCGGAGTCACTATTTGGAGCTACAAGGAAATAACGTAATATTTCCTGTATAAACTCAATTTAACTGTCAGAGAATGGCCGACTTCCGTTTATTGGATCGCATTGACATGGATGTCTCTTAATGAACCTGATAACGAAGTGATGCGGTACAACAGCATTAATGAACACCATTCTGATTCGCTTGGCGTATCTAAGGCTCATGTCCGATGATCTATGCATCCTCTACATATTATACCCAACATAAGTGCATTACCTTTATCCTTCTCTCTTTCTATTGACTGTCCACCGAATAACTGACGGCCATTTTTCCATGTTTTGCGGCCAGATATACAATTAATTTTCTAGGCCCTGTCGTTACAGTCAGGGATATTTATTTATTTTTCTTTACATATTTAATACATTCGTTAATTATCGAAAGCCTATTGACTCTTCCTAAGGTAGATAACCTATCAATCAAATGAGTATTAAATATTTCTAATGTCTAATCGTCACAAAATCATTGTTGGTATTGCTGTTTCGTCGGGTCTCGTTGCTGGTTTAGCATTTTATATTTATCTAAGACGTCGTCAACGATTTGGTTCATCATGTTAGTATTTTCTTGCCTTATTTGTGAAGCACATCAGTCATCTTACATTGCTATATTAGCAGCTATATATAAGATAAGCAGAGTATCTACTGTCATTTGAATTGTGATATAACTGCACGAGGCTTCCCTAGCGTTCTCTTTCTTTTGGTCTAAGGAACTATTTTAAACAATTAAAAACAAAGTCAGATGGAGTTTCTGACAACAACTAGTTGTCAAAGAACACGGGTCTTCTCACGAAAAAACTTAAGGCGAAGTCTTGTCTAGGCTTAAGTCAGACTTAAGTGTACAAAAATTAGCACATAAGTGCACATAATGAAGCCTTAAATTTTTTTGTGATACGACCCCCCAGATCTTTAAGCGTATCCTAAGTATTTCAAGCTTTATTGTGTATTTCTCTGTTTCATTTTTGCTACTCTGTACTAATGCAAAAGCTTACTGATTTGTTTTTTTTCCAGCGGGAGCAACACCCGATCACCCATCGCGTAAACCGGCCTCATTAATACCGAATTTTACTCGTCGACGGGGATATGATGAAATAACAGTGTCAGATGACGATAATGAACAAGACGAAACAGAACCTACTGTACGATTTAAAAGTGACGGTAACAGATAAAGGGTGGCCTATTTTTATAATTGACTCTCGATGAGAAAATAGTAGCATTTTTATATATTATATTTTCAATTGCAGGTGCAAATGTCGAAGTTCAAATACCCGGTGGTGGGGTCCCACTTTCACCAGATCAGGCTAGAATCTTGACTCGCTTTCTTTACGATGCGGATGTTAATGATTTACACAAAGCGTTAACAAACATTTCCAATGCTGCAACATTCAGAGAAAGTAAGACGTGGAAAATTTTCTGCTTTAAGAAAATGAATAGAATTACTGTTTTTTATTTATTTTTAGGTCAAATAAATCTTACAAATGCTGGATGCATTGTACGACTACGTGAATTGTTATATGCTGAAAATGAAACAACGCAATATAAAGCGTTATTAGCGTTAAACAATCTGTCACTAAACGAGTTTTCCATAATACAATTTACAGTATGTTGAAGAGTACGTTAAATGCATGCACTCTTCATCCTTCGTATATTCAGAATGTCGTACCACGCGTGATCGAATTATATCAGACGACAGCGTCACCATCCGTACGTTTATATTCATTGTATTTACTAGTAAATTTATCTGTATTGGACAATCATCACGAAGAATATTTTGAAAATTTAAATGATCTGATATCAATCGTATCATCAACATTGAAACCATCAACAGTAACTGGAGATGGAAAATCTAAACAGCAGATGAATGATGAAGCACTTCAAGCAGCCAAAATATTAGTTAATTTATCGGCTAATAGGAAAAATCTTTCATCTTTATTACAAACAACTGTAAGACGTTGTTTACTATTATTTGATCTTATGCCATCTCTTATCTCATGCGTTCTTTTATTTAGAATATTGAATTAAAACAGATTATTGAGTCATGTTCACCAACGAATTCTTTCACACAAGATACGATAAACGAAGATATATTGTTACGTTATTTCACATTCTACTGTAATGTAGCTGATGCAATCATTGACCAATTGGATAAAGGAATTGCACTAGATAAAGACTCATATCCAAACGGCTCTTTATATCATGAATTTTTTGATCATGTAAGTTGTAGTTTTCAAAAAATGTCTGCTCTCCTCATTATCTTTTTATGCAAGATTCAATTTGAGCGAAACTTTTATTAACTTTCTTTCAAGGATAAACAAGTATCATCCAGATTTCTGTTACGTCCTGTTAGAAATTCTAATGAATTAAACGTATTGACAAAACGTTTAAAGCAAGCATATGATACAATTCGACATAAACAATTTGATTCTTCGGTCTCATCATTACATGATGAACTTAACGCCGATAAAGAACCAATATCAAAAACAAATAATAGTAACATAGAAGATTATACATCGCAATCGAATGTTTATGTAGCTTCACCACCATTTACGGCGGTTAACTACGGTACTGCTGATCCTATTTTCCAAGAGCAATTGCAGCAAACAAACAATTTTGATCGGAAAGAGATAGATGATGAATTTGATAAGCAAGATAGTTTGACCGAAAATTCTTTAAACCCCACCGATGAAGCAACCAGGTCAACATCAAATCATTCATTAGCCAGTTTTCGTTCAGCCCATTCAACTGAACTTTCTCCATCGACACAGTCGATTCATACACAGCAGAGCGTTAATGGTGAACAGCCATCAATGTATCTCTCCCCGCTGCAAAGTCCTGAAAAAAACTAATCCTAAAAGAGTATTCTACATTTTTTTGTTCTGAATTTTATTTGCTATTTAGTTTAAAACGTGATTTTCCCTCCATTAATCTATACATCTTTCATTTTTTTTTCTGTTAATCATGACAGACGTGTTATGTGCTACAAAAAATAAAATTATAGTACGTCCATGTATTCAACTAATTTAGTTACAATTTATATAATGAATTCGACCAATCTTAATTTTTATATACCATCGTGAATGTGTCAATACTCTGCTTTCTCAAAGAAAAGCAATCTTCGAAAAACAAATAATTCTAGACGTTTAACGCTAGATAGATCTATTATATCTGTCAGCTCCATTACAAGACATGATAATCAATAAAGGTAAAAATGATCCACTGCTTCGACATCAAATATCAAATTTTCTCAAGTCAAATAATGACAGTTTTTCTACTGCTGTTGAATCAATTATATTCCTATTTGCACAAGTATTTCAAATACTCAGTGATCGTATAACTGATACTCAAGCCAAAACCGATGACCTTGAAGGTGATGCTTATGTTTTCATGATTTTGTTGAAGAAAAAACTAAAAATATCGTTGATAAAAATTACTTCATTTACAATTCAACAAGAAGGGTTGAAATTATCGGTGAGGACTATTTTCACTGACCTTAAATAAGTAACAGTCGTAATGTATCCTTTGAATACTAATGAATCATATTTCTTGCACTCCCAATTGCATTTGACACAAAAGAACGCTATGAAATGCAAAATACGCTGGTTGTTTTATCGAGTAAGCTTTCTTAAAATAGAAAAACTCATATTCATGTCTAGAAAAAATAGCAGTCTTCAACTTCAGTCTGACAAAAGAAGCCAACTTGATTAGCTCTCAATCTGCGAAAACTTGACAGAACAGGTAGGAAGGCGAAATTCTAGAAAACACATTTAGAGAACAACATTTAGACCCAAAACGCTAGGCAAATATACAAAATTCCTCAGCGACTAATTCTCCCTCTTAATCACTCTGATTCAACTTGATTTTATGCAATCAGCGCATAGCGGTCACTTCTGCACACAAGAAGAGCTACTACTCTGATAGAAGATAAATGAGAGAGATAATGGTAGTAGAGCATCTCACTAACTCTTCAAAATAGTCAGTTTCTTATGCAGGCTCTCTCAATCATCCGTTCATACTCGTGCGTGTCTTGATGTTTCGATTTCTTCGCAAGTTTATAGACTAACGTCATATTTTCTAATGCTTTCGAGCAGTTCTCTTGATCCTTATGCACTCGTCCAATGTTCCAGTATGTCACTGCCAGGAAAGGATGTGCTGGTGGTAATGAACTCAGACGTATCTCCAGTGTCACATGATAATTTTTCAGCGCTTGTGCATACTCATTTCTGTCATAATGCACAGTAGCAATGTTGTTATATGTAGCCGCCAATGATGGATGATTCGCAGGAAGAACTGCTTTCCGTTCTAATGTGATAAACATGTGATAAGCATTCTGCCGAGCCGCCTCGTTTTCAGAAAAGGATAATAATTATAATTTGGTCACTACAAATACGCACACGCGTTCAAACATTCATTTCTTTTATTGTTGATGCTATCTGCAAAAAACTAACAATATCGAAGAATAGACAGAAAAAAAACAATCACACTCAGTGAACGAAAACCGCAGTGTAACTTTTCAGGGACAACGTTAAGCCGAGATATCTGTTCATCTTTTAGATAAATAATAATAAAAAGAAAAATATATTTTGCTTCTTTGGTTTCACTTTATATAGAAAACAAACAAAAAGTTAAAAAAATACAAACAAATAGTTATACAATTGTTGATCACTCGGGTTATATGATTTCATTTTCGATCAATTGACAAAACAAAATGGTGATTGAAAACAAAACTTCGGCACTGGTGCGCATCCGTGCACAACCAGTGCCGATAAAATATTTTTTTGTAGGGTATTCTATCTTCCATTTCATAATACATATAGGCCGACCGATGCTAATTCATTTTCTAGTTTTTGAAAGTGGACTCTTAGGCGCTCGATGACTGAATGAATGTATCGTTTGGTATATAACAGTCGCCAGTTAATTGCGGCATTAAGTTCTTGAAATAAAGCATCCAACTCTTCTACTCGTTCTGTTCGTATACCTTCTATTTTTTCTTGACATAGTTCAACGATCAATGTTTTCGCTAGGTTACGGTCAATGCAATCCTGAGGTATATGTTGAATTAACGAAAGGAGTTTACTAAACGGAAATTTTGTTTTCTTTGTCGATTAAAAAAACTGAATTGCTTTCAAGCGACTTGGTTTCACGTTATCTGAAAAACACATAAAAACAAACATTATGACAGTATCTCCCCATATGCTCCCCAAGTTGTCTCAAATTTAATATCGGTTACTGTCTACTACATGATTCCATGATACAGAAAGAAAATACAGTAGAATAGAGCATAGTACATCAATAAATATTACTGGAAATGAAGTTTTCTTTTTGTGGTTAGTTGTTCAATTTGAATTGACGACAGCAACAGGTAAGAACAGAGCTTGTTTCTTGATCTAGGAATATACTACTAATCGTAAATAACACAGACTTCATATCACAAAATATCAGACAGCGGATACCCTACAAAAAAAATATTTTATCGGCACTGGTTGTGCACGGGTGCGCACCGGTGCCGAATAATTTTTTTTCTGGGCATCGGTGCCAGAAAAAATGTAAAAATCTCGCACCGATGCGCACCAGTGCCGAAGTTTTGTTTTCAATCACCATTTTGTTTTGTCAATTTCTATCTATATTAACGCTACGGTCTACTTCCAATATTTCGAATGTCTTTCGGACTTCATTTTTTCCTTCTCATAAGAGAAGTGCCGAGGCAATGCCGTATGGTTTTGGCATGTCGATGTGGTACTGATCAGTGCCGCACTCTAACACAAAATTCATCATAAATAACCATAATAAAGAACTAATTAAATTGATTAAATAAATTATCAGTGCGGCACCGATTTCTGCCAGTGCGGCACTAATTTTTAGCAGTGCGGCACTCTTTCAGCAGAAATATATCGGCACTGGTTCGGCACTTGCTGGGCACGGGTGCGCATCGGTGTCAGCCAGTGCCAATGACCGATGGCATGCCATGCGCACCGGTGCGCACTGGCAGTGCCGCACTGGAATTTTTTTTATAGGGTATTCGATAGAAGATTAATCAACCGTATGTAAAGATAAGAATGGTTAAATGTGTTATTTTTATAACTCCAGAATTTTCAAATCTTTAAAATCGAACGTTTTCAACTTGCTACAATTACGTACGAATCTGACGAATTTGTAATCTTTTTCACAGTTTTCTAATTCAACTTTTCACTATTCTGATGGAACTTCTTGGTGCCCAAGAATTGTTTTCTAGATCCATTTGCGAAGGCTCGATTTTACCAAGTTTTACCCGATTTTTTCTTCGAGAATACGATGTAATCAGCTTTCTTGGTCGTAGATAGAACTTCCTTACTACTAGAAGAATAAATAAAAAAACGAACACATTTCATATATTATAAATTGTTTAATAATTATACAAACAAAGAAGACAGTACTCAGTGTAATATAACTCAGAAGAGAAGTTCAGAAAGATATATACGGAGCACAGACGAATATACAGGGTGTCCCAAAAGTCCGTCGGGAAAAAAATCTTAATAACTCCGCCATTTCTTAACCAAACTTCAAGGTCGTCTTTTTGTTTGATAGAAACGTTCCAAGTTTTATTTCATACGATTGGAAATTTTTGTGTAAAAAAGGATCAGTACGGAAAAATAATAAAACTTACAACATGTTTTCTGTTTAAGTACTTGTAATAGTACGTAAAGATTGTTGAGTTTGTCATAATTAAATGGAATCTTTGTCAGAGTCGCATTACGTCTCATTTTGTAGAACTCAGGTTGTTCTACAATCCCACATATTCAAATGTTTTGTCCAGCTTAAAGTTTTGCCACAAGAAGTTAATTTCTCCATATTAGCATGATCTAGGGATTGCGACTTCTGCAATAGCCTGATACAACCTTTTATAGGCTTTCAAACTATTCCAGTTTATAAACCTTCTTTCTATAGAATTCCACTAGTAGTTTTTCCTTTTATTAGTTAACTTTATCTGAAAAATGTTTTTATTACTTTTTTGCACTTTTCCAGATGCTAGTATGGAATAACAATGGCTAAAGAAATCCCCACCAACCGGTCATTTTTAAACAAAAAACACACTTATTTCATTATGTGAAAGCCGCCACCATCTACTTTATTTTAATATTAAAAATTATTTATGTTCTTTTCAAAAAGTTTTGCAGCACATAATTTATTAAAAACGAGTCCCAAATATCTGAATTTCACTATAATAAACCCAAACATCTTTTCAAATATTAACAGGAGTTCCCAATCGTACGAAATAAAACTTGGAACGTTTCTCTATCAAACAAAAATATAACCTTGAAGTTTGGCTAAGAAATGGCGGAGTTATTAAAATTTTTTTTCTCGTCGGACTTTGGGACACCCTGTATAACGATGACGTATAGAACTGTTACAAAACATTTATTTAGATTTTTTCAGAATCAAACGGAAACTGCGAGCATTCACACAGCGTATCTCACAGATTTTCAACCAAAATGACTGAGAAAAGCAAAACAAAAATAAAGATACGTAAAAGCAAAAATATTTTTTCTGTGTGCATAATATCATTCGCATAATATGGTCGAAAAAACATCTACTCTACTGAGTACATTGATATAGAAGATCAATAATAATACTGAAAATAAGATAAAGAGTCTTGCGAGCCTACCGGCAGAAAAGTTATTTAATTTCGTCGAAAAATGAGTGAGTTGTGGGCGATTGATTGCATAAAAGATTTTCTATGCTGTTCTATGCGAAGCAAATGTCAATATAGATATATCTTACATATATGTCGCAGTAGAAATTAGTATCAGTAGAGTTCAAGATTCTATTAGTTAAAATTAAAGTTTCATTTCCTACTAGAAGAAATTAAAAT